AACGGCCTTGAATAATCTTACTGGTAGACTATTCAGTTGACCAAGACATGTGATGTCAAGATGCTGTTTGCTTTTCTCTTGAAGTTAAAAAGTAATCACTTTCATCCATTTAACTCCAGTGGGTTGGGAGCACTTGCCTATTAGCTTTAAAAAAAATAAAACAAAACAAAATACTGGCCTCATATTTTCCTATAAACTGTTACTGTTTCTTCCAGAAGAAGACAGGATGAGGAAGGACATTATACACATATGTCCCCTTAGCCTGGCTGTGCTGCTCTTTTCACTCTTGAGTCCTACATTGTATTTACTCTCTGGCTCTCTAATTCATGTTAGGGTTTGTTTTGTTTTGGGCACTTTTGAAGTTGGTACATGTTAAGGAAACCAAAGGGCTTCAAATTCGTTGTCAGATAGCATCAACATATTTCTACAAAAACACACTCAGATGCCCTTTCAGGCCTTGACCCCGAGAAGAATTGTCACCCTGCATTCCTAGCCATGCCTCCTGAGCTTGAAAGGGCCTATGCTGTGAGCATAAGAAAGTTGAAGTGCATGTTCTGAACCCTGCAGCCATCCTCCCTGTATGTATTGCCCCCATGTTAGCTCCTATTCTCCACCAATATTCGTGCCTCCATCTAGACACCATCTTGGTTGGAGGAGTGATGTATGTATTGGTCCGGAGTGCCTTCGGCTGCATATAATGGTGTCTCTGGCTAACAGTGGTATAAACAAAGAGACGTTTCTTTTTCCCGCAAAGTGAGCAGTCTGAAGGGAGACGGTGGCTGCTGCTGGTTCAGAGGGTTAGAGATACTGGCTTTTCTACTGTGGAGGTAGTAAAAGAAGGGCTGGGTCACCCAGTGGGTGACCAGGGAACAAGTCTACCTCTGTCCAAGGTAACCCAACCCATTCACCCTCCCAAGACCAGCTCTAATGTCCCTTTGTGTGAGGACTTCCCTGAATTGCTCGGGCAGAGGGTTTCCCTATGAACCCACCTTGTCCTGCAGTTGTCATCAGCTAGACTGAGCATGCTCCCTGCACAAGGACCGCATGACCATGCACGGTACACGGTGAGGGCTGCTGGAAGAATGAATGAACATGTGGGTGTGCGGATCCCCTGGGCGTTGCCTGAAGCCAGCTGCTGGAGGTAGACGGAGAGCGCTGACTGGGAAGATCTCACTTCCACCTGACATCCCATCCTGTCCGTGGGCAGTCCCTTGATGAAATGTGAAACCACAACCCTGACCACTTGTTTTCATTAAGGTACTATGGGGAGCTTGTTGCCAAAGCCCTGCTGGCTCATGTGTGATAGAAATCATCTAGTCTAGGACAGTAGGTTTTCTGCCTTCCTAGAATTTTTGTACACAGTTTTAAATAGTTACGGTCATTTGGTTTCTTAATGATACAGATTTTAGCTCAGTGTAACCATCAGTATAGTTCTCTGAAATTACAAACTATACAAAATAATCTATGCATAAGAAATATTCTTGGTTGTACATGAATAGGCATATCATGTAAAATATAGTTGATACTTCCTGGAGTTGATCCTAGGAAGATAATTAAACAAGCGTGCAAATATATGTGCAAAGTTTGAGGGATTTTTATAGTGGCATTTTATAATAAAATTTGGGAGAATTCCAACTCATCACTAGGATTTGGGTTAAATAGAAAATGGAGCATTGTGGAAGGGTTAAAAATGATCACATAGGATATCCTAATAGCATAAACAGTGTTGCTGGGGATATCAGGCAGGCGATGTGGATGTGAGATATAATCCCTTCTCAGCTGACAAAGACGACATTATGCATTTTCATCAAAATGGTAGACAATGACTATCTCTAGGATGTGTGTGTGTGTTTTACTGTCTTTAAGATTTTCTGTATTGTTTAACTTTTAAAACAATGTGTGTATTTGTTTTACAATCAGAAAATATAATTTTCATAAAAATAATTTTCACAAAAATATCTAATTCAGGGCTATTTCTTTTTTTCTGTTTATTTTAATTTTTTTAAATTGACGTATAGTTTATTTACAATGCTGTATTAGTTTCAGGTGTATGGCAAACGGACTGATTTTTTTTCAGATTCTTTTTCATTTTATCTTACTATAAGATATTGAATATAGTTCCCAGTGCTATACAGTAGGCCCCTCGTTCTATTTTGTATATAGTAGTGTGTATCTATTAATCCTAAACTACTGATTTATCCCTTCCAGGGCTATTTCTTTAGCAGAAATACTGAACATGGAATTCTCTCTTTATAATAGAACACAAAACTATCAATATCTGAGAATTAATACTAAAGAAATGGTATCTATAATTTTAAAATCCACCCAAGATATTACAATAGAAGTTTCCACTTTTTTATACAAGCACATTTTAGGGGAAGGGGGAACTTCCTTAAAATAGGATAAAAGCAAAGAATTAACATTAACAATTTCCATCACAGTCTTTCCTCTCAATCAGGATCTAAGCAAAGAGCCAAGAAGAACTGGGGCAAGGAGCTATTTTTATGTTATATGTTCTGTATTTCTGGGATTTGCAGGAGGAATGGTGGCAGAGAGTTTCCAGACTGCTGTTTCTAACTCCAGTTTATTTGGAAAGCGTGATTTAAAAATAACGTTGGTTCTAGTTATTTTTCATGAAGGATTTACCAAACAATCTCAAATTCAGTTTTCTATTGAGTTTGAAGATAGTGTCTACCCTTTTTTGTGGTAATGAAAGCTCCTGAGAAGAGTTTTTCGAGCAAGTGAAGATGTAGTCCGTCTGTCGTCTTTAAAGATACTATAATTCTGGGAGAACCGCTTGGTGATCTGAGAGACTTGAAGCACTGTCACTTTAAAAATTCTCAAATCTTCTTCCACATTTATTCTAACAAATATGTCATCTGTCTTGGGGGAGGGGGAGAATCGCTTAAATCCTAATGCTTTATTTTCACCATCATTGAACAATTCACAATTCAGAGTATTCAGCGATCAAGTCTAGCTGATCGTAGAAGGTGGGGTGGAACTGAAAACTGGGCTGTTTATGCGGTTTTGATGGGTGGTATACAGTACTCTGCAGGCAAGAGCACAGTCCCCATGACATCATGGACTGCACGTGGGCGCGGAGATGCCCCTGCCAAGCACAGCCGCTTTGTGCCGGGTCCCGGGCTGAGCTGACGATGACTCCAGTGCACGTGGCCCTCTGGGCCCTGCCTGCTGACATCTACTGTTGTAGGTGGGATCTCCCTGGAAAACCCTAAGAGACAATAAGCGCAAAGGTTCACGGAGGGTTGGGGGTGGGTGGGGATAGTAGGTTTCTGAGACAGTGTTTATTTTAGAATCGGTCTTCATTTTAAAATGTGCCCCTGATGTCTTGGTATTTTAGTGGTGGTTGAATGTTCCCGACCTCCCCTTTCCCCCAGACAAGCAGGGCCACATGCAGAGAACGGAATGAGGAATGGGGCCTGTCAGATTCTGCCCTGGCTGCTCAGCTGGGGGCCGTGGCCAGAGATAGAAGTCTCACATAGCATCTTCGCCACAGACAACTCCCTCACACAAGAGTGGTCTCCATTAGTATTAATCAATCAACAAAATTAATGATGAAAGGAAGATGGTGTGGCAGGAAATCTTGTAGACTGTAAATAGTATGAGACTCCAAAGAGGTGTCTTGGGTAGGGGTGGTCCAGGAAATTTTTATGGAAGACTTCATATTGAAATAAATAGATGTTTAATTAGATGATGTTCCAATCCTGGCTAATTACAGTACATGCTATAATAGTTATGGGGAACTCATATGGACTAAAGGAATTTAAAGATGTAAGATTCAGTTTCTATTCTTCATTCATTTATTCATATTCTTTTTTCCTTCCCCTCTTCGTCCCTTTGTCCCTCTTTTCCTTCCTCCCCCAAGACAATCCAGTTCAGTTTACTTGAGTTAAATATGAGCCTAATTCAGCTGCACTGTGCGTGTGTACATCCAGCCACACAGAACTTAACCATTCCTGGGTCTTAGAAACATTAGTGGAATAGAAAAGGAAATGGTTCATACGCTTTTATTTTCTCTTTGCTCCCACCCTCCCTTCTTTTGAAAAGAGAAGAAAGGAGGGGGAAAAACAAATGTTGAAAGCGTTGAAGGAACAGTTCAAAGGTGATGGGGTCATTTCATGAGAACATCACAGGAAGAAGGTTCTCACCTGTGCTCTCGGGGTCTTTATCAATAAAAGTCGGACCCCGTGGTTTCCTGGGATCTGGTGCTATCCTTGCATGACTGAAGTTCACCAACTTGAACTTCTAAGTCATGCAGTTGCTGGGAAATGAGACTGATTTGTGTTTGCCTACTTGTGGACTCTGTAGCCAGGCCACAAGCATCTGTGTTTGTGTCAGGGCATGAGTGAGGCTGAGGGCAAATCTTCAGCAACGGCTTCATTATTGGAAGTGCGAGATTTTTTTCAACTTAGGCTTTGTTTTTCAGTTTGCTGCTTATTTGAACTCATAATTCAAATAAACGTGAGAAACTGCCATTGTGCACCTGTATTTTACATATACAGTGGTATTATTTTTCATTTTAAATGCATTTATGGATGTTTTCAATGCACTGACAGCTGAGCTTTTTATTCTATAATCCTTGTTAGAGAGCAATTTTTAAGGTAATAAGGATGTACCTTTTCACTCCGGATTCTGGCTCAGCTGCTCGGTGGAACCCTGCTGGCCTGAACAGCTGTCCCTGCCCATCCCTGACTGCCCCTTCCTCTCTAAGTTCCCTGCGTTACCCGTTGATCTTTCAGGAGCCTGAATTGTAGTTAGCTGCCTCCTTTCCTTATCCTGCCATACAGTTTTCTCCTAAAATCTCAAGGCAGTAAGGTTCAAAATAGAAACGAACATCTTGACATGGTCTGAGGTTTTTGCATATTTCAATATGAGAACCCAGACCAAAAGATGCAAATGGGTGATCTTTTACTTCCTCTCTTCATATAGGGAACTTCCCGAATGCTCCTTCCCTTGGATGGAGCAATCTACGTTAGCACTGAAGTGAATAATTCTATATTTGGCAGTTATGTGTCAAAGCAAGTCTCATAAATGCAGCAGATGTACGTGCTGGGTGACTGCCATTTGTGGGCATCTGGGGAGTTATTCACTGGTTATTGACAGATTTGGGGGTGGGGGATGGTGAAGGAAGGGGAACCGAGGACTTCCCCCTCATTGTTTTATCTTCTGAGTGATTGTCCCCAAGGAAAAACCTTCTGAGTCTGAATCCCTAACTGAACATTTTTATACTTACATGTTTGTGGTCCTGCTAACTGTGCGAAGCTTTGGAATTGGAGGTTTTCTACCGAATTAAGAGAAGCCTGGCCTCTTTAATTGTTTAAATTCTGATTGTTTCTGAAAGGAAAGCATTTGAGGAAGTACGTTTGTGCCCTCTGATTAGCATTGCTTGCTTTTGTGCAAGTCGACTTAGGGAATTGTCTTATGTGAAACCAATAAAGCAGCTTAAGTAATTGGAGCTGAACTCTTCTCCCTGGAACACAGCCAGGTCCAAGGCCTGGGAAGCACAAAAGGGCACAGGGAATTGACAGGTGGGCACCAGCAACGTTGTCTTCCCCCAGCTGCTGGGTGAGGGGCCGTTGCAACCATAACGACCTCGGGAAACCCAGTTCAGCTTTTCCAGACCTGTCCTGATCGTTGACCTAAATTTCTCGCTGTGACGTCTCTCCTTTTCCTGTTCCTCCAACATTCTCTCTTTTATCTTGGTGACAGTCGCAGTTGTAGCTTTCCACAGCTGCTTTTCCTTTAGAGATTTGAGCTGGGGCTTAAGAGACTCTCTGGGTTAGATTTCTCAAGCCTCTTTCCTGGAGGAAGAGGATTGAGAGGGCTGGCCTGAGTGGCCAGAGGAGCCTCGTCCATCCCGTCGGAGACAGACCTGGAAGAGCCTCTGCCAATGACTGAATATCTTCCTGTCTCCCCTCATGTGTAACTTGCCAAGTTAGAAGACCCTGTGTTGCTTACTCATGCTATAGTGAAGATTTCCTTACCCTCTTAAGTTTTTTCACCACATTCATTTATAGCCATAGCACTTTTTGTTGTTTCTATTCCTTCAGGCTGTTCCCTTGCTATTTTATTCCCCTTCCCTCGTACCCACTCATTCCTTCCGAAAGCCAGAACCTTTAGCTCCCACCTAAGCAACATAATTAATTAACCTATATTTATTGGATGTTTACTACATTTATTTACCATGCATATTGTATTACAGATATTTGTATACATTGTTTTATTTCTCCTACTACATTGTAAATTCCTTAAAATCAAAGACAAGGCATTATCCATGTTTTACTCTCCCTAGTGGAGTGCCATATATATAGTATATAGTGAGTCTTGAGTAAATGCGGCCAGCACTATGGTTTTCAATCCGTTTGAAAAAAATGTGAATGACAGATATATTAGTTATTAGGCCTGAAGTCTCAGCACCATTGTGTGCAATTCCATTTGTTTCTAGGAAAATGCTTATTAACTGCATAGAACCCTTGCTTTTTCCTGCCCCCACCCCTGCTGTTTTCTTTTCTTATCATGTGTTTCTTTTTTTCTTTTTTAACTTTTTTTTGGGTGGTTAGGTTTATTTATTTTTGGAGGAGGTACTGGGGATTGAACCCAGGACCTTGTGTATGCTAAGCACACACTCTACCACTTGAGCTATACCTGCCCCCCTATCATGTGTTCAGCTTACCTCTGGGAGGTGTGACTTGTCCAGAGAACCAGTGGTCATAGGCGCCTTATCTTTCCATGAATATTTGTGTTAAATAGAAAGGAGAGCAGAGAGGGTAAGAACTACTTTTACCTTCATTCTAGCTCCTGTTCCAGTGATTGCTACTATTTTTGTATTTTCTCTTTCTTTGTATTTAGGGAAACAAAAAGGGTTCACATGGGCTTTTAGCTGATCAGAATTCAAAGAACCAGAGTTTATTTTGAGGTCATCTATCTGTGAAGCATTGATTTATGTGAAAGGGAAAGATTAAGATTTTCACATATTTTGGAGGTTTTTGATGTTTTTTTAAAAAAAAAAGAATGTGGGAGTAGATTTTAGATGCACGGAATATTTCATGGATTTATTTATTGAGCAATTATCTTCCTTAGCATCAGTTATCCCCAACTAATCTTTGTTTACTATTTTCATGAGAACTGAAAGACATTTCCTGCAGTTCAGAATTGTCTGCCAGAGCTATAACACATGAGGTCTTTGTATTTCTTTCTCCAGTAGTTGATGAAATCCAGCATTCAGTCTATCTACAGAGACATCTTACAGAAAGAGATCTTTTTCTGATTTCTCTGGTTGAATACATGAGATCACAAGTTACATGAAAGGTTGAAGTTCAAGTAGCAAATAAAGGCCAAGTGGAACACCAAACAGTTTGCACCAAAAATGTTCTACATTTCTCTGTTTAAAGCAACTCTTGCTCCGCTAAGTTGGTGTTTTCCTCTTTGTTGTGTTTCTCTCATGAGCCTGCGTTGTCACCACTTGCTCAATCCAAGAGCAAGGCTTCCTCAGAAACCAGGGCGTGCCTAGGAGGCCAGAATGGCAGTAGAGGCTGTAAATGTGTGGGAGATGTGCACATTGCTTCGGTAGCCCTTCTGTCTTCAGACTTCGTAGTCTAAGATCTTTTAGCAGATAGTGGATGTGTTCCTCTTCACTCACCACACAATAACTGACAACCTGTTCATATGCATGTCATGCTGTACCCGGTACTGGGAGCCTGTAATCTGTATGAAACAACTGTAAAGTGATTTCTTGTATGATTTAGGAAATAGCACATCTTCTTTTAGAGGCATTCCTTCTATGTAAAATAGAAATACAGTATCCATGTATGTAACATCTACTACAGCTACGATTACTGCTACTGCTAATAATAATAGTACCTACCAGGTGAAGGGACTTGGCATTCTATGCCAGGCACTGTTATGCGCCCTCATAGTATAACATCCCATTTTAAGTTTTTATCCCTCTGAAATGGGTATTTATCTCTGTTGAACATCTGGGAAGCCTGGAGCTCACAGAGGTTAAATTATTTGTCGTGAGTCACATAGCCAGTGTGATTCCAAGCTGGGGTTCAAATCTAAGCCTGTTTTATCCCTGAGTCTGTGTCCTTTGTCACTATCTCCTGCTTTTCCTGGAGGTTGTCAAATGCCAATATATCCTGAAGCAGCCAGAAAGTTTCGGCTAGTTCTGGGATTTTCTTTCATACAATAGGTAAGATAGGGCCATGAATAATTAAAACCCAAGGACCCAGGTTTCTGTACCACCCAGACTCGGAAGGGGCTAGCTGGGGTGACAGAGACTTAATGAGTTTGCTTGGGGAAGAGCAGCAAGCAAGATGGAGGGGTCCCCTTTCGCCCTTCAAATAATTTGTAATCCATCCTTGCTCTGTTGCTAATGAGGCTAGAAAGGGTATGTAGGAAACAAAACCATTTCCTGGCTGTGCGAGGGCACAAGAGCGTAGTGGTGGTGAGGGAGCAGTGCTTCCAAGCTCAAGGTCACCTCCGAAACCTCAAAGCCTTTTTCACTTAGTCACACATTTTTAAGTCTTTAAGGTGGTGATTCTCCAACTTGTTCCCCAGGCCAGCAGAATCCACATCAGCTGGGAACTTGATGAAAATACAAATTCTCAGGCCCCACTCCACATCCACTAAATCAGAAATTCAGGGAGTGAGTCCCAGCAGTCTGTTTTTACAAGG